GGTTATTTTGACGAACATGTTTATAATTGCGATGAAACTGGTTTATTTTGGAAGCTGTTACCGTAGAAGTCGCAAGCAACAGCAAGCGGCCCACATAATATCAGACACAAACAAAATAATCAACGCAATGTTTACAGCAAACATAATCATGATTTTATTCGAATACTGCCTGACACATGTGATGATACATCAATTAACTAAACCAAGGGTTTATATGTGCTTTTTATATGTTTTTCAATGCACGACCTCCCTCTTTCACGACGTCCCTCGGTAAGTCGCGGCCCTCGATAAGTCACGGTTTTTACTTGGATCCCAACACCCGCGACTTAGCGAGGGGCCACTGTATATATATATATATATATATATACATACATGTATTCAAAATGGCTGATTTTGAATGCTGTTCCAGAGCAATATCTCTCAATATGGACAAGTACTTGTTTGACGATCAGATACAAATGTCAATCATTTTAATGTTAAAAAAATCATATTCCTGACATGGTTATATTCCAGCTATATTACTATAAACAAAACTATAGATCTTAAATTTGATAACTAACTGGGACTGTGCTATGCATGGCTTGTTGATACCTAATTGTGTCCGCAGCAATTTTTCGGAATGACTGGGCCGATTTGGATCAAAGTTGGTATGATGATTATACATATTGGTTTGTAGGTGCACGTCATTTTTTTTTCGTGATTCAAACAAATATGGCCGACTAGAGGCCATCTTGAATGCAATGAATGTTTCTGTTTAAATTTTCTTCAAAGATAGTATACCAAGAGATACATCTGCACCAACATGATTTTTGTTATTCAATTCAAAATGGCTGGTCAACGCCCAATTTTCATGTAAAAGCGCTAAATCATCATTTTTACATGTCCGATGCTGTTTCTCAGAGATGGCTGGGCCGATTTGGATCAAACGTTGTATGATGATCATACATATTTGGTTATAGGAGCACGTCATACTTTTTCCTAGATTCAAACAAATATAACTGACTGGCGGCCATTTTGTTTTTCATGGTACCCATCTTACTTTCTCTTGAATGCAATGAACATTTCTGTTTAAATTTTTATACGAAGGTAGTTTGCCAAGAGACACATCTGCTTCAACATTATTTTTGTGATTCAATTCAATATGGCTGACGCCCAATTCTTTTGTAAAAGCACTATAAATCGTCATTTTAACATGTCCGGGGCTGTTTCTCAGAGATGACTAGGCCAATTTGGATCAAAGTTGGTCTGATGATCATGCATATTGGGTTATACCCCGGTAGTTGCATGTCATATTTTATCTGTGATTCAAACTAATATGGCTGACTGGTGGCCATTTTGTTTTTCATGATACCCATGCCTACTTTCCCATGAATGCAATGAACATTTCTGTCTAAATTTTTTACAAAGACAGTATACCAATAGATACATCAACATGAACATTATTTTTGTAATTTGATTCAATATGACTGCCCGATGTCCAATTCTCGTGTAAAAGCACTAAATCATAATTTTTTACAAATCCATCTCCTATTAATGGTTTCAATCTAATCTCGATGACTTCATCAGCATCAAATTGATATGTTAGATCACAAGATTTTGGACAGGTACTGAGTCTTTAACAATGACTTTGCCAATTACAGTACCTAACAATCAACAACTGATTGCATCACCGATTGAATGCTAGTGATGGATTTTGGCATTAAATACAATACTGTGCATTGTCAATGCTTATTTTCTCATTAGATTATTATTAGATAATTTACTAAAATGATTGCCGTCATAGCAACCACAAATAGTTTATTAACATCAGATTTACTATCATAGGTTAAGAAAGGCACCATTGAAGTTTTTGAAATGTCCACATCAAGCTAAGAAGTATCAGTTATTTGGTGTTCAACCAGTTACACTATTGACATCTATGGAAGATTTTTCTACCACAATGCAGTAAGTTAATTAGTCTATTAAGTTTGGCTGTATCTTATGAACACTTTCTTGGTAAGCAGTAGAACTATAGAGAAGTTGAATGTGAGCTCATGGGTCAAAATAATAAAAAAAAATAACCTGGTGGCTACAACATTAGTCATGTTAAAAGATGACTTTTCAAACAACTGCTCAAAATGTTGTAGTTTTAATAATGATTGTAATAACTATTTTTTTCAGCAAAATATAAGTACAATGATAATGCTACAATAGATTGGTGTCTGTACTTATGTTCATGGCTGTCCTAATGTGCAATCAGTTTTCAGATATCCTGTTAATGTATTATGATGCCTGTTTCATGTGATACAATGCATTGGTTATTTTTGCTATTAAACACCCCTGATGTCCAATGGGTTATTGATGATCTGATTGATATACGCAATTTGATTTTGACAACTTGGCAATGCTTTTTTTGAACAATTGTTTGAAATAGGCTAAAAAAATGTTTCTGGTATATATGGGTAATTTCAGACATTCAATGAGGTGCATTTTAGTGTTAATATTGCATATACGTACTTTGTTTCAAATTCTTCCAACTTCAACCTTGCAGTGTACAGGATTTGTTTCACTGATGTATCGATCGCCAAATTCTCATAAAATATGTACAAAGTTGCTGATAGAAATAAGTTAAAATGCAATGTGTCCTAAAAACTGTAAATTTATTAACTTTATAAAAAAATCAGCAAAATCGTTTAGCGATGACTATAAATTGTCAGTAAACTTTATTCAAGCAATGGCGTTCCTGTATACGAATGAGATATGGAACGCACTAAGACAAATGTGACAAGCTCACAGAGTTCATGATTTTGTAATGCTGTATTTATTTGTGGCGACAAAAAGCTGTGAAACAGATACATAGACTTTATGACCATGTGATATCAGGTTTATCAAACATGTGCATATCTGAGTGGAGTAATCACTCACCTTGGATAGTAGAGTCAGCAACCATGTAGCCTGATGTGGGCTGATAATGCTGACATGCTTCATGGGGGGAGAAAATGGATGATATGCTATGCAAATTTGTTTGACTAAACTTAAAGTAAAAGTAATATTGCAATCTGAATATCATTATTGAGTTTTTAACTAATTCTAACTCATATATATCTTAGGCCGGTTCATAAATGGGACACAGCTGCTAATGAGTATGTTTCTGCTTTGATCAAAATGGGTAAGTTAACTGCAAGTACATACAAATAATGTTAGTCTTCCAGAAATTGTCAATTCTTCTTATAACTGGTTCATTAATGTGATAGCATAATTTAAGTTATATGCTCATATATCCTGATTGTAAATGTAAAGTATGATGTGGAACTTTAGTGTGAATTCATTGCTTTTTTGTTGTACAGAGACCTTTGATGTTATGGTAGAGATTTGCCATATAGACAAAGACAAAGAACACCATGTTATACTATACCTTAACACAGCTAAGGGTTTGGTGAGTATTTAGTAATCTGCTGTTACTGTACAATACTGCTGGATTAATTTATTATTAATTTGTTTGCGAATACAAAATTAGTGAACCATAAATAATATGTTATATACTCTGCTTGCATGCCTCTACTACTACTTAAGCAGATAACGTTCAGATCTCTTGGGAACAGCAACCAATCATAACTTATGAACTTACGTGTTATGAAGGTCCTTTTCTAGTAAATGGTTCACAAATCTCAACAGAGGAAAGCTGCTGAATGCTCATTGTATATTTCTCCTTGATCAGAGGTGATGTACATCTCGAAATGGAATATCAATAACGTTTTCTGGAGCCAGATCTACTACTACCTATATTGTATCTGAGGCATTCCTGGATTACTATCTCTTAGTTGGATATCACCACACTCCATCAGGAAAATAATGAACTGTCGCCTTTCTGAGTAAAGCTGGGATAAATAATTATTACCTGATGACTATGTACATTTGTATAGATTAATACCTTTGTCTCTGTGGTGATAATATCTTTAATGTATGATTGTTGGTTGGTTTACAGATCAACTTAAATCAACTGTTAGTAAATGAAGACTATGCTATTGCTATTGATGATATCAAAGGCTCACTTGATGGGAAGTGTTTACCAACAGCCAGCACTCCAGATGGTAGAACTAGAACGGTGCTGGGTTCAGAGTACACTAGTCAGTCTACAACACCAGACACATCATGCAGTGTATCACCAATTCAATCTCTAACTTCTGTAGAGAAAGCTGGTAACAAAGCTTTTGCTTTAATGCATTCCCAGAAAATGTACGAGGGTGATTCAAAAGTTCAAAAACCTGGCTTCAGAGATTCCTACACATCTCCATTAGAAGTAGATGTGACTCATGAAATTAAAGGCGATGGAAGAGAGTCTAAAGAGTGTGCCACAGCTAGCAGTCTTGACGTGGAGCACGAATCTACATCATCACTGATTGGCTCCAGTTACACTGATGCTTTCAAGCAGAGACAGAAGCTAGAAAAGGCAAGTTCTGATAATGTTATAATGCTGACAAGAGACATGGAACAAGATGCTCTAGTCCAGAGGTTTATTGCTGGGTACTCATCAGTGAGACAAGCTGAAGACTCTTTGTTGAAAAAGACACATGACTCATCTACATCATTGAATAAAGGCACAAGCTATCGTCTTAGTACGTTGAAGTCTATGTTGCAGATGGTGGAAACACAGCCCTCAGAGCCGGATTCTCTAAGAACTCCTGGTTTTGTGGAGTCACCAAATAAACCTTCAGCGGAAGCTTCAAAATCCAAGGGTATGAGAGATGAACGTTTGTATTTTGTTGATGAAAGGAAGATGCCAGTTGAATCAATAAAGAGCTGGCAAATGAAATCTCTATCCTCAGAATATGAAAGATTCAGAGAACCAGGTGACCATTTACCACCTTCTATTAAAAGAACATCTAGATCTCTGATGGATCAACTAACCCATCATAGAGGAAGAGAAGAAGGTTTACAAACTAGTCCCGAGTTTGGACAGTTTAGACAGCCTGTGGAAGATGAGAATATAAAATATGAAGGTACACCGGAAGATCCTAACACCAGTCAAGGTTTAGTTGTAAAGAAAATCAGTCCAGGAACATTTTTCACCAGACAGGCTGTAGAGGATCTGAAGCATTTATCTGGATATCAAGATAGGAAAGAAGAATTTGGAATCAATGCAGCCTCAGTTTTAAAGATGAATGAAAGCCCTGAAGCAGTCTTTTCAAAACAGGTTACGAAGGACCAGGCACTGTTACCAGATTCAAAAGAAAAAGAAGCAAACCTTAGACTTAGTCCGTCTCTAGGTGTAACAAAGAATGTCAGTCCAGAAACATACTTTTTCAAAGGCAGAGGTAAAGCTCTTGGAATAAGTCCATCAATAGTAAAGAAGAATACTAGTCCAGAAATAATCTTCTCCAAAGGCAGAGGATTGAAAGCCCTTGGAACCAGTCCTTCAGTTGTGAAGAAGGACACAACTCCAGAAAAAATCTTCTCCAAAGGCAGAGGAATAGCCATTGGAGCCAGTCTTTCTTCAGTTGTAAATAAGAACGCAAGTCCAGAAACGGTCTTCTCCAAAGGCAGAGGATTGAAAGCCCTTGCAACCAGTCCATCCTCAATAGTAAAAAAGAACACAAGACCAGAAACTGTCTTCTCCAGACAAGCTCCAGAGGACCAGCAACTGTTGTTAGGTAATAAAGGCAAAGAATTAACCCTAACCAGTCCACTTCTAGTACTGAACAAGGGAAGAGGTCTGATTTCTAGACTACCAAGGTGTGCTGAGAAGAAGCAAATGACAACTAGTGATACAGTCAAGTAAGCCATTTTTTTTTGCTCTTATCGAATATAATAGAATCACTATATCATCAATCATAACTCAGGCATGCCAAGCTCGATTTTGTTAAAATTAGGTATGAATGTTATACATATCATTTATATCTCATAATTTAAATAGTGTGTTGTATTTTTCAGATCACCGACTGTAAGTAGTAAAAATTGGGCTCTTGATGGATCCTTCAATGAAGAAGATGTGTCATCAACAGATATTAGTACATTGATAGGTCAAAGGTAAGATTTCTTTACTGTATTCCTGTTAATAAAATGCAGCTCTGGGAACAGTCAATAGTCAGTACGTTTTTATAAAACATTAAAAAATGTTTTCATTAAAAACTGAGAATATTCTTAAACACATTGCTTTCTGAAGTAAGCGAATAATAATACAAAAAAACAACATATTTTTGAATCCCGTGTGTCTGTATGTCTCTCTGTATGTATGTATGTCACTTTTTTTGTTCCACCATTATCTCAAGAACCATTAATCAAATTTTGATGAAACTTGACACATGGATGCTCTGAACGCGCAGAGTTGATTAGGTCTTGGTAAAAATCAGTTAATATTAATTACCTAATTTGCATAATGATTAACCAATTTTTTGGGTTTTCCACTGATATCTCAAGTACTAATCATAACATTTCAATAAAGCTTGGTACATAGATGTCATATGACACTTCACAGACCTGATAGTTTTTAGGATATATCAGTACATATTAATTACCTAATTTGCATAATTAATTCATTTTCAGCTTTTGATATTTCAAGTAGTAATCACATTTCAATGAAACCTGGTACATAGTTACTTGAGAACTGTGCAGAGACCTAATCTAAATATTTGTTCACATTAATCACCTTATTAGCATAATTAGTTAATTTTCAGCTTTTCAGCTGATATCTACATACTAATCAATACATTTCAATAAGACTTGCGACATAGATCTTCTAAGACTATGCAGAGACCTGATTAATTGTGCATATTAATTACCTAATTTGCATAATTAGTTAATTTTTTGCTGTTCCATGGCTGTTGCACTGATGTCTAAAGAACCACTCATTGGATTTTAATGACACTTTTAAAGCTCGAGTACTCATCACATTTCAATGAACCTAGGACTATACACCATATTAGTTTTTGGTAAATATTTGTGCTTCTTAATCACCTAATTAACATAATTAATTAATACTGATATCTCAAGTACTGATCATCACATTTGAATAAAATTTGGTGCATAAATGCTCTAGGACAATAGACGGCCTGATTAATTTTGGGTTAAAATCTGTTCATATTAATTTTCTATTTAGCATAATAATTAATAATCTTTTGGTTCTAATCACATTTCAATGAAACTTGGTACATAGATATTACATTACGCAGATCTTATTACTTTTACAGTGTGCATACCTTATTAGTTTTACACTTAGTTACATTATTTGCATAAGGTTTTCCATCAATATCTCAAGTTCAAGTAATTTTTAATTAATTTTTAATGTGTCTCCAATACTCTCAGCACATAGGAGTTCTTTCTAAGATTTCTTTGATTAATTGATAAATTTTATTGGTTCTCATTTCTGAAAATTCAATTAGTCACTATACAATCATAATTGACCAACGTTGTACATGGACACTTATGCGTTTCACGGCATGCAATTTGATTGACAAGGAACCAAAACATTGCTGCTATTTGTTGCTACTGACTTGCTTGCAATGAACATTGTACATTGGTGCAAGTCACAGCCACAGGGAAACTTACCTGGATGAGTGACCTTGTGAATTTATCTTTTTGATACAACACAGCTGAAACAAACTTGTATGAACAGACCTGTAAAATACTCTGCATAATCAAGATTAAAAATGTGTAAAATATGCAAGATTATGCACTAACAAAAACACTATTCCTTATATAGTTCTTTATGTTGCTAGTCAAAGTGGATTACATCAGTCAATATATGAGTGTTTCATTGAACATATAGGCTTACACCCCAAACTCAGTATATATGAATTGGAGTCATTGATAGTCTAATGATAGTCATATCTACCACTGTAGGATCATGAAGCAGCTGACTGGTGCCACTGATGACAGACCAATTCAAAATGAATCTTCTTCTTTAGCAGGACATGTATCAGTGTATGGTGATCTCAAACCCAAGCCTATCATTGATATCAACAGAACTCCTTTTCCTGATCTTCTCAAACAGGTTACTTTTTTTCTACTTGGTTTTAAATATTGTCAATGTTGTATAAAAGTAGCTGTTCAGTGTTGGTAAATATCAAATACTTATTATCGTATGCATTTGGGTATAATTCTTGTCATACATTTGTCATTTGCAGTGTCTGTATAAACAGAATACCTGCATTTAATTGTGTATGTATGCATTCTTGCATATCAATTAGCTAATTTGCATGTGTATTTTCATTTATATTCTAATTCTTATCTCCACAAGTATTTGTTAACTACAGTGTGTATACTATGTTCTACTTGCAGCCACTTGAAGATCAGGGATTTCCAGGCCCAACTTTAGTGCAAGCCTATGCCTGGCCATCTATTTTGAGAGGCAGAGACTTTGTAGGTATATCTGCTAGAAGCACTGGTAAAACACTAGCATATCTCTTGCCTGCATTGACACAGCTATTGCAGGCCAGCACCTACTCTAAGTTGCCATCAGGAGAAGGGGTAAGTTTCAACTCGCTGAGTTCACCATCAACTGCTCTTGCATGCATTAATGTTGCATTAATCCTTTGAATACCATTGTCAGCTTTTTGCAAAATTATAATGTACAGACTGCTCCTTCCCACATGAAATGTTAAGAAAAATTGAGAAGCCATTTTATCTGAAACTGTCTTAAAGTTCAAAATGATGATGAAATTTGGTGACAATTTTATAAAAAAGTGAAAATATTTGCACTGATTTTTTAGGGGAAAAATATCTGGCACTCAAAGGAAATATAAAATTTGACATTCAGCAGCCAATAATTATCAGTACATTCATGTTTGTCAGAAGCTTGTCTCACAGAAATCAGTTGTAGTGATTTGGCATTGGTGTTGACAACTTTCATGAAAGTCGCTGTGACAGAAATGTTATCTGCAACCAAATTTCGCAAAATTTACAAAAAAAACATTTTCTCGCTAAATTAAAACATGCTGTAGCTTTATATTATCCATTGTAATAAAAATGGTTTGCTTTTCAAATTCCTTCATTTGTAGCCGTTAGTATTGATACTGTCTCCATCGTGGAAAAGAGCCCAGTTCATTTATGATAATTGTAAAATATTTCTACAAGAATCAGAATCCACAAGAACACTGTTACTGTTTGGAGCGGGTTCAGAAGACACTCAAATTGTAAGTACAAATGTAGGTCTTAAAGAAATGAATTGATGATTATATGTAATTTTCTTTATACTTCAAAAATGATTGAGATCACCGGACAATGTTTTGAGAAGTACAATAAGGTTATAAAATGTCATGGACGATTTACATTGAATCCTTTTTGTATTGGTTTCTATGGTGACATTTTTGCTTCATTATCTTAAAATGTTGATTAATGACGTATGTTTTGAGCAAGATATGTATGTTTTTATACTAATATTACATATGTGTATGTGTTCGTTGCAAACTGTATATGCCTTATTAGTAGCGCATGAACTTACACAAATGACAGAAATTGTTGAAATAACTTACATTATTTAATATGCAGTGTGTAACAAATACAATTTATGGTTTGAGTATTCTTCTATAGAAGATGCGCTTGTAATAGAGCAAATACTGTATTGTTATTGATATTCTGCATTTTGTAGAAAACTGATTTAATCTAGCGAGCTCCAGTGTGATAATGTTTTTCTATTTATTATTTACAATGGGAAGTTTCCTCCCACAATGCACTGCTCACCTTTATTTCCAAATTTGAATTTACTGAATATCCACATTAATAAAAGTGTGGTCAAGTTGTTTGATAGATTCAAGAATTGGAGGGCATATACTGTCAGTTGTCGGTAGTATCAACAGTATATCACTCATGTGATTTGCATGTGATATCTTCTATGCATCATGCATGTAATGCACACTACTGTTGAGAATAATAATTTGTTTTTTTTATTCCATCTCATAGTTTTCTCTTTTAAGTGGTTGTGAAGTCCTAATTGCTACCCCAAGTTGTTTGGCAAGATTATTAGAGAAAAGCTACACACTATTGAACAGATTGTGTCATCTGGTAAGTATATTTGATGTTATGAATTGCATTACAGATAAAGTCTGTAGGTGGACAAAAATAAATGCTTTTTTTGTGTGACTTTATAGTTGAAACACTGAGGGCGCTGTTCCCAAATATAACATCACTGATGCATATAATTCATGTTGTCACTATGTTTTGTTAGGTGTTTGATGATGCTGATTTGTTGATGGAAGATTTTCCCTCGCAGGTAGGTGCACGGTATGAACTTCTCTGATGTACAGTATTCTTGGTAGAACACAGATCTGTGTACTACTAGTATATGAATAACTCAAGTTATAGGGGAAGTCGTGTTACCATGGTGTTATCAATGGGAAGACATAAAATTATCATTCAAGTTAAACTGTTACAATCCACCAAAAGAATGAAATTTATAATGTATAAGGGTATGCATCTTGTGTTATATGTGATGAAGTTCAAAGTCAAACAAATTGCAAGATGATCCCAAAAGTCGCTGACAAACTTCCATTTTGAAAAATACTTAAAGCAAATGAGTATATTTTGCAATGCTGGTACTATGGGTTTTTGCATTTTTTGAAAAACCTGATTTCAACTCTTGCACAATGGGTTAACATTTGGCCCTGTATTGGGGGTGGGGGACCTGTAAAAATAATGGATATCACCTGACTTTTGATCCATCTATGGTTCAACATGTGTAGAATCTACTGAGCTATTCAATGTTAGGTTATAAAATACCTAATGTATGCAATGTCACATGATATGGTTCTGTCCAATCATGTTCTTTGATTTCAGATCAATGACATAATGAAATCCTATGCTGTATGTTTATCCAATCACCGTGGTAGATGTTCACCAAGACAGGTGATCATTATGAGTACAGTCTGGACAGCAGGTATAGAATCACTGATGAAAGCATACCAAGTTGATCCACTCATTGTATTAACATCAAAAGTAGAAGCTGCTGTATATAGCAAAGTAATACAGGTAACTCAGTCGCCTTGCACTCATATCACTAGTAAAGTGTAATTGGATGATTCTTTGTTGTACAGTAGTAGTTTTGTTTTTAATCTCCTGTTTAGAAACAGTTCTGGAAAAGTTATTATTAATTTTCCTCTATCTATGCATCCATCCAAAGCTATTTCTCAAACATATGCATTGACAATTTTTTTCAAATTTTCATTGAATCAAAGACAGTGTCAAACCCTAAAAGTCCAGAAATTGAGTGTGATATCTCATGGGGAGACCTACTCTGAGTGCTGTATAGAGGATTATTGTTGTACCGTCATTGTGTTAATCTGTTCACACACAACCTGTTGTCCAACTTAAACTGTTGATTTGTTATTTGGAGATTGTTTGACATTGCTGTTTTTACTTTGTTTTCAGACTGTGCATGTGTGTTTGTCAAGTCAGCGTTTTGCTCTCTTACTGGATGAATTAGATTCTGTGTTAAGCAGGTCAAAGAAAACTATTCTCTTCGCAAACACCAAGTCTGATGCAGTGTGTTTACAGCAAGTAAGTCAGAAACA